TTTTTGCTCCTGCAAATTCAGTTAACAATGATAGAGGCCTCCTGAGTATCTGTCTTGTGATAAATCTGGGCACTGCCAGGTCTCCAGTTCATCCTGAGCAAGGCAGATAAACTTTTAGCCGCAAAAACCATGTAGAGAAAATTACTTTGTGCTTGAAGCTAAAAACACATGTCCCAATTCAACACATGGGACAAAGTTACAGCAGAAACATATAGATCGTTTCATGAATCGCGAATATAAATTAAGTAGACATTTCAAATATTTTGGGCGAGGCAAGCGCATTACATGTAACCAAAATGTTTGTACCCCATAATATCCTGAATTAAAAGAAAAAAAACAAAAACAAAGATATATCACCTCTCCACCTCTCAACACACACTCTTCTCTCTCTCTGCTCTCCCTCTGCAGTTAATTCCAAATTATTCTTTAAAGCTCATTTCAAATGAGCTGAGCTTTTTCCAACAAGCCTTCCATGCCTGCCCTCTCCACAGTCTAAGTAAGGCCTCAGTCCTTTTAATCTCTCCTATCACTCTTTAATGTCTTTGCAGTGGTTATCAGAGTCCGTGCTTTACAGTTATTGGTGTGACTAGTTAGTAAATTTCCATCTCTCCCATTGAAATCTAGGTTTTGAGAGAGTGGGGCCTGGGTCTCTTTGGTTGTCTGCTGCCCAGAGCTAACTGAGTGCCTTTCCCCTAGGATAGGTTCAAATGCTATTTGTTGAATGAATCAAGTAAATGAAAGAGTGTCTTTTCCCCATCCATGGCAGAAAACTGTTTCACTGATTCATTCAACAAAGTTGAGTGTGTCAAAGTCTGTGAGAATCAAATGACAAATCAGATACAGACTCTTTCCTGGAAGTTCCTGGAGTCCAATGGGAAATAAAAGGTATGTATTGAAATAACTATTATAGGATACTGTAAGGGAAATCATAAACTTTTTTAGTAAGGTCAAATTTTAATGCTACAAAGTTGCCAAAGAAAGCAGATTCTCCATGTGAGAAGGGTTAGGTGGCCTCACTGCCCTAGGCTTGTGTGACGCCCTAAGTCAGCTGGATTGGAATCTCTGGTGTCACAGCATGGGTGCTGGGCTTCCAGGTATTTAACCTATTTCTGCAGCAGTCCCCTCATCTGTGCAAAGGTCAGTTTCCTACTGGAAAGGGAACCATGTTTTTACACAAGATATTTTTAGCAGAATAGGGTAAGTTCGATGATACTGAATAAGATAAGCACATGGAAAGACGTTCAGCATTGTTAACCATCAGGGAAATGCAAAGGAAATCCACAATGAGATACCACTGCACAGATGTCAGAATGGCTGACAGAACAAAGATGGCAACACCAAACATTGGTGTGGGTGTGGGGAGTGTGGTTACTCATACAGTGTGCTGGTAGGAATGTGAAATGCTATGGCCACTCTGGAAAACATACAGTTTTCCAGTTTTGAAAGTTCCTTAAAAACTTAAATGTGCAACTACTGTACAAACCCAGAAAGCACACTCCTGGGGATTTATTCCAGAGACATGACTACTTATGTTGATTCCAAAATGTGCACACAATGTTTATAGCAGCTTTATTTGCTATGGGCCCAGACTGGGAACAGCCCCGATGTCCTTCGACAGGTGAATGGTTAAACAAACTGAAGTAGGACCGTAGCACAGAATACTAAGCAATTGAAATAAATGAGGTATAAATACCTGCAACAATCTGGAGGAGGAGGTAGGGAAAAAGCTGGTGTGGCTGGAACAGGGGAACGTAAAAGCTCCTTGTGCTAATGGAAATGTCCAGTAATTCGATTGTATCCATGTGAATATCCTGCTTATGATTTTATACTCTAATTTGGGGAGATATCTTTGGAGAAACTGGATAAAAAGTTGATGGAATCTCTTTATATTAGCTCTTAACACTGCGTGTGAATCTACCTTTATCAAAAATTCAAACAGGGCTGGGTGCGGTGGCTCATGCCTATAATCCTAGCACTCTGGGAGGCCGAGGCGGGTGGATCACTCAAGGTCAGGAGTTCGAGACCAGCCTCAGCAAGAGCAAGACCCCGTCTCTACTAAAAAAAATAGAAAGAAATG